GCAACAATTCTCACTGTTCTCTTTTCTTTTTCAAAATATTGTCTTGTTCTTTTTTACAATTAAATAAAAAAATATTATATAGAAAATCTATCCCAAGACATGTTCTAAAAAAAAATCAACAAAAAAAAAGTATTATTTAAATACTTCCAAAGATTCAAGAATCTAGAAAAAAAATTCTCGATTTCTATATACTGTATATATGTATATATATAGTGGCCTTTTATTTTTTTTTCTCAAGCATTTTTTTTTCTAATTTTTATAATAAATTATATATATTTTTTTAATCGTAAATTTTTTGATTATATCAAATCTCTTAAAAACTAATTAATCAAGATCATAAATTAATTAAATTATATCAAATACAAAAAAAATTAAACAAACCATATTTCTTACTTATTTATTCATGATACTAAAATTAATAAAGGGATTAATTCCTAAAAATAATAAATAATTTTAGTTAAAAGAGTAGTACAAAAATGATAAATTAAATTAAAATTATAAGTATATAAGAAAAACTTCTTTATTACTATTTTTACTATTTTATCTTACATTTTTTAAAATATATAAATGATACAATATTTAGACAATATTTTAATATAATAATAAGTTAATAATAATATTGTTTTAAAAAAAGAATGATTTTTAAAAAAGATTTTAAAATTAATTATAAATCGAATAAAACAATAATTTTCAAGTATAAGTTTTAATAAATATTTTTCTGAAAATAATTTTAAATGTTTTTAAATATTATTTGTTTCAATAAAAATGAATTAGCTTAATGAATTACAGATAGCAAAACATAAAATATATTACAATTATAATATAGAAATAAGAAATATTATTTGAAACATTTAATATATAAACTATATATTAAAATATTATTAGATTTAAAAAAATTGGCATAGCATAATATTAAATGATTAAAATATAGTTGAAATTAATGTAAATAAAAATAAATGAATAGTAAATAACATATTATTACAATTATAATAAACATTTGTATTTGTATTTCCTAATTGTAAATATTTATTTTGATAAATAATTATTGGTTTATGTCAAATTTTATAAAATTTTCAAAAAACTATAATTTAAATCAAATAAAAATATAATTATAAAAAGTATATTTTTATAAAAAAAATTTTAGTATAATGATATAATGTTATTTAATTGTAATTTGATGGGTCTTTTTTTGTCCGATTAGAATTTTTTAAAAAGAAAGTTTTTTATAAAAAAAAGAAATAGAAAGATATACTGTATATACATTATTTATAATTATAATTTAATGATTTAGTTAAGATGTCAAAATATTAGTTGTTATTTTGACAAATAAATGTTTAATAAATTTAATAAACCATTTGTTTATTATATAATAATAAATAAATCAATTTGTAAATTTATATAGTTAGATTTAAATTATCAAACAAATATAATATTTCTTTACAATTATAGCGATTATTGATATTTTAATGACATAAATTACATAGGATATATTTTTATAAAAGTAATTGCGATTATTAAAATCTATTTGATTCTAAAATTTTGCTATAGTAACAATATACATACTTATTTTATAATATACATACAGTATTTTATTTTTAATTTAATTATTTTGTTTTTGATGTTATATCAATATTTTGTCATTAGCAACAATTTATTACGATACCTTTATCATTATTAATTCCTTTTATTTTTAACTCTTAATCATTGTAATTTGAAACTTGAAAACATAAGGATTTCGAATTATATAAAAAAAGTTTTTTTCTTTGCCATGATACTTGTTTATATAGCAATGAAGTAGTAAAATCAGAATCACTTTACTTTCTTAAATGGAGGTTTTTTTCCTAGATAAATTATATACTTGTTAAGAATTTAATCCTCAACTACAGTATTAATACAATAGAGGTTCACGCAATACCTGTAGTTCTGTTTGACCTGTATGCTCACTGATATGAAAGTCTAAAATGTATAATGCATGTATTGTAATATTATTACCTCATTTATTTAAGCTATATTTGATAATTTTTTGTCATTATTATTTATATACAGTATATGAAAGAATCAAATCCTCATGCTTTCTTTACGCATTTTACAATATGGATTTTGCTTTTAAAAAAGAAAAATTAAATATCGCTGGACGTGACAGTCAGGAAAGCCAAAAGATACTTATCACTGGCGGGGAAGGCTTTATTGTATGTACTATGTAGATTTAGATATTTGTTTTAAGAACAATTAACTGCTGCAAATTAAATTTGTATTATTTACAATATAGGGAAGTCATGTGGTAAAGTATCTCTACGATCGTGGAAACTATGTTCGTATTATCGACATCTTACCAAATACAACTGGCCCATTTGAAGACCCTAAAAATTATTGCTCTGAATTTTTAACTGAAGATTTAAGAGATTTATCTGCGTGCCGTTATGCTGTAAGAGACGTACAATGGGTGTTTCACTTTGCCACTAGTGAGAATAGGATGGGTCTAATTTATGAGAAAAGTGACTTCACTCTATACAATGAAAACCATTTGATAACAGTTAATATTACACAAGCTGCTATTGAAAGAGAGGTAGAGCAATTCTTTTACGTGTCCTCTGCTCGCATCTATCCAATTTACACAGGCAAATATAACCGAAAACTAAAAGAATCAGATATATGGCAATATACGAACGGAGATCATTACATAGATCTATAAGGCCTTTATGGCTGTGAAAAATTGAACAGCGAAATTTTTTTGAAGAAATTTGTAAAAGGAAAAAACCTAAACAAAATCCCAACTGAAATCAAAATAGAAAGACTTTACAACATATTTGGAGAGGAAAATAATTGGAAAGGAGAAATGGTGGAAACTCCGTCTACATTAATCCATAAAGCAATTCACTTGACTACCAAAAGTGAAAATAATGACAAGATAGAGATTTGGGATTCTGGAAATCAGCTTCTTAGCTTTTTGTATATTGAAGATTGTGTGGATGCCATTATCAAATTAATGGAAAGTAATTATTCGAAGTCATTAAATATTGAGTCCGAAGAAGCTCTTACAATAGAGGAATTAGCATACATAGCTATTGATACCATAGGAGTTCGGTGAGACCGAATAAAGTTAATTGTGAATGAGAAAGTATTCACTGATGTAGGAAATCAAAGTTCTGATAATTCGCTAATCAAAAAAGTTCTCAGATGGTCACAACAGACCTTGATCTGAAAGGATATGGAGAGAACCTCTATGTGGATGCAAACTAAAATCAGAAAAGGGTCAATGCAAAAAAATTCATTCGCCGAAAAATTGCATCAGGACGAGGTAAGACTATTATCAAAAGGAATAAATTTTGGATTATTACTTCCGATTACATCTCATGGATTAAAAAATCCGGAGAATTGATTTTCGACATCCAATTGGCATTTTCAATTATGATGTCATCTCCAAAAAGAACTATATATTCACACTGTTGATTGTACGCGTCCTTCACTAGATAATTCCAAATTTTACAGATTGATCCCGGAGGAAAATCAAACTCATGTGTCTCAATATCTTTTATTCCATGCTCTTTAAGGATAGATTCGACTATGTTATTCTTGATAGGATGAAAAAGAGCTTAGGTTATGTATTATCATTCCTTCTGTCTTTCTCATTTGTGTTGCCTTTCCTTATTTCCTTTGAATCCACAATCCCAGAAACTGCTCTGCCTTCATTTCTTCCTCTGCTTTTATTTTTGTTTCCATTAGTATGATTTCTCCTCTTTTTGTTCATGTCTTTTTATTCACTATTACCAATTTCGTTTATTTCTACTTCCCATTATTTTTGAAATAGCATTATTATTTTTTTTTTGATGATACAGTATATATTTTGTTTTTCTTGTATTTTTTGTAATTTTAATTTTAAATAAAATTTCTTTATAATTTATATCATTAAGTATACTAAGAGTAGAAGCATATATTCTTTTATTAATTTTTATAAATAATAAATATGAATGAAAATTATTTATCATTAATTTATAAATATTTTTTTATGTTTTTTGTTCTTGAATAAATATTAAAAGAAATATTATTATAAAATTGGGTTTTAATTTTAAAATAATTAATTAATTCTTCAATTGTATAAATATTTTGTATTGTTTTACCTTAAGGAAACCATTTTGATAATATACCAAAATAACTATTAACAATACTTTATTCATGATATTCAACAAAATAGTTGAATAAAAATTTTTTATCATAAATAGAAGGTAAATAATTAAAAATAAAATGCATTAATTCAGTAGAGTGAAAATGTGGTCTACAATCAGACCAGAAACAATTTCATTAAATTGTGACATAAAAGTATTAGAAAGAAGTTTTTTAATACAATTAGTCACAAATAAAGAATCATGATTTAAAATTTTTGAAAAACAATCCATATATTATGTTTTAATATTATTATTACTATCTTTATAAAAAATCACAAATCCTAAAAGTGAAATTTGTATTTTTTTATAAAAATATTTTCCTGTTTCTATTGGGCCACCACCAATTTTAAAATTTTCTTTAAAGTCCATAATAATAATACAAGGTGTAGTTGTTGTTAATTCAAGTGAATTTTTATAAAATTCTTGTTGTTGAATTTTAAAATAAAGATGTTGTTTATAAAAACTAATTTCAATTTGTAATTGATTAATAATAGAATGATTTTTTCTATTATTTAAATTCATTTGTTGTAATTTAATTTCTAATTTTTGTTCTTCAACACAAATTGGACTCATATCTGTTTTTCCATTTAAAGTGAAGTTTTGTCAGAAACCTGTGTATAATTGACCTATCATTTCTGTTTGTTTGTCTTTGTCTGTGTGTTTTTTGATTATATATATTAGTTTGAATGTGAGCGCTCCTCTCACGACACAATTCTGGATTTCTTGGGTCCATAACTCTTGGTGTTCTTCTATTTCTTTAAAGAGCTTATATTCTAGTTTTACGGTTGTTCGACTGCTGACTTCTTTATTTATGATTTGGTTGAGTGTCTTGATGGTATTGTTTCTATTTTGTGCACAGGTCATGCAGTGTGTATTTGATTCTGTGTCTTGGTTACACATGATGCATCTGTCGTCAGAGTACGTTGTATTGGATCTTTGATGTAGTTTATCTTTTGTTGGAAGTTCTAGATTCCATAGTTTTAGTCTGAAGAATCTTGTATTGTGATCTTCTCGGTTCGTTGTTCCTGTTGTGATTTTTGAAGGGTGTTTGTGTGTCATGGATTCTGACCAATTGATATCTTTTAATGTGTATTGGTTCGTAATTGTTGTTAGGTTGCGGTTGAACATTCTCCAGCTGAATATGTATTTGGTTCTGGCGATGTTCTTGTATGTTTGTGTTATTGTGTTCTCTAAGATCTGGCTGTTCAATTCTTGGGACCATCTTTGTTTGTCATGTCTTTGAGATATGAAATTTATGAATGAGTCTGCATTTAGGTCTGCTGCTTCTTTGGCCAGCTGGTCTGCTTTGTCGTTGTTTGGGTATTGGTTGTGTGCTTTAATTTTCTTTTCTGTATATTGGATGTGTTGTGAGTTGATTGTGTATATGATGAAGTTGATTAGGTTACTGTTGTTGAGTGTTCTTATTTTTGAGTAGTCCTTTCGTGTTTTTTCTATGGCATTTAGTGCTGCCTGACTGTCGCTATATATTGTCACCTTGCTTCCTGCTGGGGCTGTTATAAGAAAGGAGGCTATTGCGGCTAGTTCCACTCTGATAGATGATAGGAATTTTTCGATTCTATCTTGGAAGTTGATTTCTGACATTTGTGGAATATGCCATCCAAAGCCCATTCTTTTGTCTTTACTCAGGGAACCATCAGTGTATACAGTTATTGTTTTGAGATTTCCGATTTTGTGTCTGATCATTGCTAGTTGTTCGATTGTGTTTGATGATAAGTTTATCATTTTTTGAATTATTTGTTTGTTGATGTGGAGTACGTTTTGAGTTATTTGTGGTGGTTCAGGAAGGTTGCAGTGTGGGAAGGCTTTGTTAAGCATTGTTTGAAGGCTTGGTGGTGTGATGCGAGTTCTGTGTACTATTGGTTCGTTTGTTTCGTGTTTGGAGCTCTTTATGCTCTTATGTACTGGAATGTTTATTAAGCTACAGAGGCCTCTTGTGAATATGCATTCTCCTGGTTTTCCTTGTATGTTTATGTCGCATCCATGACATTCTTGCAGTGGAGACTGTTTGTTGATTCTTGTGTAGTATTGTAGCTTGGCTGTATTACCTATTATTGCTTTTTTCCTGTTGATTATATTATGTTGGTTTGTTTTGTTTGCAATCTACTTAATCTTATTACTTGGTGTTTCTATTGCGAGTTGTATGTTTTTTTGGATGACTAAAGATTTGGTTTGTTGCTCTTTGTTTGATTAGTTCATGAACTCTGGAGTTGTTCTGCAGTTCTTTATACCATATGGGTTTTTTCCGGTTTGGTTTTTTATTGGAGTAGGTGATTTCTATCCATGCTGCTAGCCTTGTACCTGCAAAGTTGGTAATTTGATTGAGGAACATTATCTGGTTCTTTGCTAGTTGTTTTCTATGTTTGTTGTACAGGCTGTTTCTACGATTTTCTCAATTGTTGTGTCAGTCTTCTGGATAATTTTGATTGTGTTTGTGATTCCTATGAAGCCTTGCTGTCTGAGTAGGAATATTTTGTTGTGTGTCAAGTCCTTTCCTAAGGGTGTGATTGGTGTTTTGAAGTTGGTGCTTATGATTGCTTCTGTTGACCAGTAGGTGTTTTGTACTTCCTGTAGTCTCATGCTTGTTATCCGTCCTATGATATCATTTCTGTTAATTATTTTTTGCCAGTTGTTTGCGTGTAGAAGGATTTGCCTGTCCCAGATGTGGAAGAAACCATATTCTAAGGAATTGTAGAGAATTGTGTTGGGGGCTGTTTGGGCGATGTTTAGTTTGTGCTTGTATATTTTGTTGTGGTGACTCATTATGTTATCGCAGATTTTTTCTGAGAGAATGAGGTCTGATAATAAATACGTTATTGATGGGATCCATACTTGATTGTGAAAATATCTTAACTGTTTGTCTGTAGTTGTCTTCCATTTGATGGTGTTTGCGAACTTGATGGTTTTCTCTTGAATTAGATGCTTCTGAAATGATTTTGTGCCTAAGCCTTCCATATGAATTCCTAAGATTCTGGCTGCCTGGTTTGGATGTAGGACTATTATTTTCTGATTTTGGATTGATATGTGGTCTGTTGTGTAGTTCTTTCTGTTCAGAACTATTAAGCTTGATTTGAATCCATTGATATTTATGTTGTTGCAATTGAAGAATTCTGTACATATGTTGCAGAGCTTTTGGAGTGTTTCTTTGTCTTGAATAATCAGTGTTGTATCATTCATGAAGGTTGTAATGAGATGTTCTGGGTTTTCGTTTTTGGTGGTTGTTGTAGGTCTGATCAGTATTTGGCTATAAGTGTGTGAGGGAGGGTTGTAGAAAATTCTCTATAGGAGTGGAGAGATTGTGTCTCCCTGGTCAATGCCATCTTCTACTGTATATGGTAGTGTTGGGCCGAAGAGTGTGAGAACTTGGTTCTGTCTGTTGTCGCACATGTTGATAATAATTTTGATGATTTTTTTTGGACATTTGATTCGTTGTAATAAGAGTATAAGTCTCTGAATGTTAACTGAGTCATATGCTTTGGCCATGTCTAAGCTTAGGATCCATGCTTGTTTGTTGTTTTGTACTGCATCATCTTGTACTGTTCTGAGAATTTGGATTGGTTCTTGTGTGCTGCAACCAGAAAGGGCTGCCCAATTGTGTGGTGAAATTATGTTGTGTTGAGTTAGAGTTTGTGCTAGTCTGTCTGCTATAATTTTTGTGAAGACTTTTCTGGTTGTTTCTAGAAGCATAATTGGTCTGGTGATATTGATGTCATTCTCCCATGGTTTTGGTTTAGGTATGGGGTATATGTTACCTATTTTCCATTTGTGTGATAGGTTTTCTTGGTGTAGTATATCGTTCATAAGTTTTGTGAGATAATTGAGTATTTCTTTACTTAATTTCTTGAGTGCTATGTATGGTATGCCCGTGGGACCTGGTGCTGTTTTTGATGATTGGTTTTTGAGAGTTTGTTGAATTTCTTCTGTGGAGATTGGTTGTGTCGTGTTGTTGTACCATTCTGTATGTATGTGTTTGATTGGTTTGTATTCTTTTCTCCATCTTGTATTGTCTAATGGTTGTGTGTCATGTTTTTTTGTCCATTGTTCGAAATGTGTTCTGAC